CATTTTATCCGAGGTATGATCGACGCTTTATCCGGGGTATATTAATAACCAATCAAAACGAACTTCCACTATGCTATATATTATATACAGTCAGAACTCTATAAATGCACACTCTATAAATGCACAGACTAAGTAAAAACTCTCTAGATGTCTGGTCCCAACTCATAAGAACTATATATAATTTCTACTCTATAAACGTACACAAATTTTTTTCCTATGGTCCCGACGACAGTGCATTTATAGAGTTCTGACTATATATATACTGTATAAGATTAAAAATAAATAATTGTCACGATTAAAGCAAAATTTAAATGTACAGTATTAACGTTAAGAAATTTTTTAGGTGCATTTTTTATTGATTAGGATTTAGTTTTTATAAGTTAAATCGAGGATCCTTTAAAAATTTACCATTATGGTTATAATAACCAATAAAAATGTGATGTACCCTTAATAAGATCGGAAATTATGGATAGAAACAGTACCAAAGAGTCGATCAGCTAACTTTAGTACCACGTAAAATGCGTATCGGGTATTATATGTGTTACAATCTTTCCAAAAAAACGATCGAGATCGATAATTCCCACGAATGTGCTTTTCTTTTTTTTTCTTTTTTGCATTTTAAAAACGTAAAAAATTTTTAATATACGCTAAGTGAAACTGTTAAGATTTAATACGAAATCTTTCATACTTTATAAACTCCACCGAATCTAAATGAATCAACAAGGTCAAAACGGCACTTCGGAAATTAAAGACTTGGGAGTAACTCCGACTTTACCACATCTAGTGGATTTTGGTGATAAATGTGCTACAATTAAAAAGCTTTCCACCGAAATCTTACAAAAAGCAGAAAGGGATGCTGCTAAAAAGGTTTGTAATTTTATTCTATTAAAAAAAGTGTAATAAATGCTTACATGATTAATTACAATAGACTTCATATTCTTCATATTATAGCCCAATTTGGTTGGCTCGTCGAGCTTAATATCAGATCCTTCTATTCAATCTGCTAAACAACAACTAGCTCGTTCGTTTATTCAACTCCGAGGGTTAAATCGTACTGCAATGTTGGAAAAAAGCAGTGATAAATTGACTACACAGGATGCAAAACTGTCAATGGATCGAATTCATTTACAATTACAAGATTTGAACTACATGAAAACATTTCTTCAAAGAGAAATTCGCCGATGTAAATCATTCAGGTATGTTAAATTCTAATTATAGTTATACCGTTAGAATTGTCATTCATGATTGTTATGAATAATAGGTCAAAGTATCAGAAAGTGCCACTTATATCAGAAGAAGAATTTCTGTCAAGGGCTCCTACAAGGCTAACTGCGCCGCTTTCTGATACAGAAGCGTCCGAAAAACAGCAACTCCATCATCGGATGCTTCAGCGACTGAACTTTGAAAAGGAGGAGCGGATCAGGTGATTATCATTTATAATTGAATTTCATTAAGTCAGTAAAATCATCATTTATAGTTGAATATTATTAGTTAATGTTAGATATTTTTCTCTTGAAAGATTAAAGGAGGAAGTTACTGAGAAACTAAAACGAAAGAAGGAAGCATCAGAGCGTGTCATGGCCAAGAAAGCCAAGATTGATCAATTTAATAAAGAATTTGAGAAGTTCATAAAGGTAGCGTGCCAAATAAAAAAATTATCTGCGTTCAATACAATTATTAATATTTTTTAATTATTAAACAGCAAGCCAAGCCTCTGAATGAAATTTTGGCTGATGAAGAAGCTGGCCAGCCTGACCAATCAGATCAAATGGACACAACAGTGTAGCTTTATTGACACATAATTCTTTAAAAAATGTATATATTATGTTTTTAATTTTTAATTGGTGATAATATTCATACCATAGTTTTGATTTCATTAGATTATTTTCGTTTTTGGTTTCAATAAAATTTTCCTTTTACATAGAATATCGGCGCCAAATATGACATGCTAAACAGCCGAAAAGTACTGTCGATATAAAGCTATGCGCCTAGTATTCCTTTAACAGAAAGTTTCTTTTTGATTTCAGTTCGGAGCTGAGTGTACTATCCAGACTGTTTTATATACGATTTTTTTTGTCACAGTTACTTGAGATAAATATTTTCGCACACATGGATTCCTCGTCCTAATAATTACGCAGGTTTTATGAACACGGAAAAGTTGTTGTGTTGAGTTGAGTATAATCACATGATTTATATTATATTAAGTTTGATTGGTTCAAATCATTGATGGATTTGACGCTAAAATCAGATATTAAAAATTTTAGTATATCGACTATTGGAGTTGGAAAGTCTGAAAAAAGGATAAAAACTGACAAAGCAGATCGTATCTAAACACTTATGTAGCAGCTAGTTAAGTTTTTATTAAAAGTAAAAGGGTTATGTAGCAAATATTTATGTTTTTATATACTGTATATATATTATGCAATAAAGACAAGATTTGCTATATAGAAAATATACTGTATATACAATATATATATACAGTATATATATATATATATATATATATATGTTAAAGATTTATTAGTTTACACATAGTATATAGTTTATACATATTAAAATTTGACAAAAAATATTTTCTGTAAATACTCATATACAGTATTTAGAACTTGAGATATCAACATACATGTATATACAGTATATACATATATATAGTGTATATATTATATATATTTGTTACAACCTTGGTATAATCACACTATTTTTTAACTTGAGCTAATAAAATTTGACTTTTATATAGTCATAACTTTTTATAATCACCAGATTCTTGTTTCCCAAGCTGGTGATTATATCGAGGACTGACTGTAAATCCAAATTACATTATCTACGTATAAAAGATTATAAGTAATTAACTATTAAACAATCTAGAATACAATTTATCATGTCTTCCTTGCAAGATATCTAACAATGGTGACGTTTGTACAGCCGCTTTACTGTTCAATTTACAAGTTTTTTCCAATGATTTTTCAACATATGCTTGGCATTCTGTTAACAGCCTTTGAGAGTAATATGGGCCAATAATATTTAATCGAACTGCAGCTGATAAAATGGCACGAGCAAATAGAAACAAGTAAAGATGTTGCGTCCGCTCTGTTAAATAGAAGAATGTTTGAAAAGTAATTAAAAAAGAAATATTTAGGAAAACAATTAAATACCCAAACTAATTCCAAGACACTTTGTAACTAGTCCAAAACAAATCGGTAGGTGTCCACATGAAATTTCTTTTCTAACTCCAAGCTTAAACTTTTCTATCACAAGATCTTTCATTTTGGTTTTACTATCATTATCGGCAAAAGATTTAGTAAATAATGTTAACATAGCAACACCTTGAGCTTTTGAAGCTCGTTTTGTAACATAATTTGATGTATAAGCATCATATAAATCATCTAAATTTATGATTTTTTCCATAATTTTGTCTATAACATTCATAGAATCATTTTCTTTATAATTCAAAATTTCATCATCCGAGCTTTCTATTTCGACGGCCCACCAAGTGTCGGTAACAAACGGTAACGAACTATAAGCATAATTTTCAATACTACTACTTAAAAACAATAATAAAGACTCAATATTTGTAACATGCCCTGCTTGTGTTGCAGACTCCAATCCAGCAGAAGCTACAAAACCTCCAGTCGGCAACGCAGAATCAGCGAATTGCCATAATAACCAATCCTCACGATTTGTATCTTGGGTTTGAGAGTTCATTTTATTTTAAAGATTCGAAAAAGGTGATCTTATAAAGATTGTCACACGGCTAATGCTGATCTACACTCTTACATCTGAATGGGCAAAAATTTTCTGATCGATTACAGGATTAGTCTGGCACGATTTATTTCGTATCACAGCTAATTTAATTAGCCAAGAAAAAAATACAATTTTACCGGTTTTTAATAATTTAGGTCGACTGGGTTGATAATAACGAGGCATTAATATTAGCGATATTGATGTTAATTATACGTATTAACCACAGTAAAGTAATACAATACAGTAAAATAAAAGCAAACACGATACACATGAAATATAACGTGCATTTTCAGTTCAGTATATTTATTTTACAAAATTTTTTTGCACTGATGCCTAAATTTGAAAATAGATGATTATAGCGTTTTATTGTACAACTGAACAGTGGGAAAGAAAGCGTTAGCGATTTTTCATCATTTAGAGAAATTGATAACACTTTCTCTCATCTGTCATAGGATATGGCAAATAAATTTAATGAGGAAATGAGTAGTATAGAATCAAAATAAATATCATCGGCGAGTATCCTACATTATAATCCAAATATTTAAGGATTTTACTGAACTCACACATATGAACTATCAACGATTCAAAGTAATTAGTGTTAAATGCGAAAATGCGATATTCTTGAGAGTTATGGCTCCTACTTTCTTGTTTGAACAGTCATTATTTCGTTTCATTCTGTGGAAGTTTTGAAGGTACGACGAAATTAGCAAATTAATCAAAATATTGATTCAAAATACAAATATAAAGCGAAAATTGTACTACCGCTGATGAACATAAATTATATGTGCATATACTCCGGTGGCGATAGCAATCCGTTCATGAACAGAGTGATTCCGAGCACAATGCTCAATGATGCGGATACATTAGCAAGTACAAAACTAACATCGTATTTGGTTCCATAATAAAATGTATCCGCCGTTGAATAAAGGTGTGCAATAAAAGCAATGCTCGAAAATTGAAGAATAGCTGGCAAATAATAACAATTTGTTATTAATGAATGAGGTACCAGTTTGATCAAAGCTTGATCTGAATACCGAATTTTCTTATACCGTATACAAAGAACAGAACTGATAATATCTTCCATGCTTTTTCTCTCATCGCTCTGCCACCAACTAGAACCGATACCAAATGTAACCAGGCCAGTCCACCAACGACAGCGGCAAGGATCATTCCAATGGCGGCAGCCTCCCACTCCTCACAAAAATTACGTTCATTACAATCATGTTGATCCACAGATGGGAAAGGGCGGCACGTATCATTATATCCTGTACATTTCTTAAATAGACCATAATATACGCTTGTACGAAAAGGTATACTTCGAGTTGAAAAGACAAGCCTAATTCGTTTGTAAGAAATCAAAAATTAATGATCTTAACAGTGGAAAGTAAAATTCTTCTGTGATAACAATTCTTCAAATCGAGATACTAACTCACCAATTTGGTAATAACATTGCTAGCAACGAGAAAAAGTAAGAAATTGTGAATAGAATTGATACCAATGCGTATGACACTAACGACGGCATCTTGAATCAAAGTCAATAACGTTTTGAGAGCATGGGGATTTTTTCACTTTTCGGAAAGCACAGGTTAAGATGGACAGCCAATCAGAAAGCGTCTAACTCAGCACATGACGACCAAGCAAATATTTTTTAAAAACTTTAACGTTAAACAAGGAAAACTTAACACTTAACAAAAACTTAATCAAATTTAATAATTTTTTTTTTAAATTAATTCTACAAGTTTGTAAAAATTATTTATTAAATTTGGTCAAGGTTTCATTAAGTTATTTTTGTTTAAAATTATAAAAATTTTTATTATAAAAAATCGCCAAAGTACCCGATCAATTTTTAAAATATTATATAAGGGAGAGGGAGGTATTCTGGCGCGGGTGGGTAATTTGGCGCTCAAAAGTTTTTTGATACATTAATATCTCGTAATACGCCGATCAGAATCGAAAAATTTTAGTACCATTTGATCCGTCTTAACAAGCCGAACAAGAAAAAATCAAAAACTCATAAATTTACTAATATTCTGGCCCCCGACCCAAAAGAATCTGATCCGACATGATTAATATAGTTACCTAATGCAGTACTATAATGAATAATAAACTTTTATTTAATTTCTTATCGAAGGTTCGGGATCAATATGACAAAAAATTTTGTCATACACACTAAGTTCCTCATTTATATGAGTACTATAACAGTCTTCATAAAATTTTTTAAAGCTAACATTAAATGTTTCAAATTCTTCTAGTGTTCAACGAATTTACACATTTCAAACCCCTTAATTGTAAATCGATATTTATTTTCTTAATCAAAAACATCACCCACAGCTTTACTAAATCTTTTTTTCTATTAAAAGAATATACTCCATCTTAGCTAGATCTCTAAAATAATAAATAACTTCAGCAAAATATACAATGAAATCTTTAATTTGATTGTACTGGCCTATATGAGTGCAATGAATGTCAATTGGCTCAATGATTGCATTCATAAGAACAAGTTTTAAAAAATAATCAATTATGTTTCTTAATCTCTTATAGAGATATGGGAGAACATAGTTCATTTTTTTTTTAAATTCACTTGTAGTATAAGTGTTATTCATTAAATTACTACATGTGTTTAAAACTGAATTGTTTATTTTTTTATTTTACAAATTGAAATGATCTGACATATTTATGTTGCAAATTGAAAAAACTTTTAATGAGCATCTTATAGAAGTTATTTGATTTATATTCAAGAAGTACTTTTATTATTCATTTGTTTGAATTACAAATTTGGTTAAAATAATTTATAGACTTAGTTAAATTCAACTTTAAAATTCAGAATTCTGTTTAGCTTTATTTGTTAATCTTTCATTTGTTTAAAAATATACTGTAATTGTAATTGCAAACATACGTGCAGACAAAAAGTACAACTGCAAGAAAACAATCATGATTATGATTGTGATTGCAAGAAAACTTACAATCACATATAAAAAAATAATAGCAAATTTTGATCATAATTGCAAATAAAAAATTAGCTATACAATTAACTTATATGTTAGAAAACAACTATAATCCTAATTGTAAGGAAGCTGTTATTGTAAACAATTATAATTATGATCATGATTGCAAACAATCACAATTGCAATCATGATTGCAAACAATTGTGATTGCAATTGTAATTGTAGATAATAAATTATAAACCCATAAGTATAATAAAAATATAAATTGCTGTAAATATTGTATGATTAAAAAAAAAAAAAAATTGCAAAAACAAATTGCAATAAAAATTTTACTTCTTCTAAAATTATAATTAAAAATCCCATTAATAAATCAAAATCTAAAAAAGTTATCTAAACTACAAATAAAAAAGCTATTAAGGCAGCTCTTAAGGCACTTAATAGCCCCAAACCATCTAGTATAAAAGTAGCAGCATCAAAATTCAGTATCACATTAACAACCCTAAGACATGCAATTAACAAAGATGATATAACCAACCGTCCTGATGCTACAATAATCTTAAGTAGTTATAAAGAAAAGCAATTAGTAGGCTATTGCAAAAATATGCAAAAACTAAAATTTGGCTTTACAAAGTTGAGAATAAACTATTGCATTATGAATATTATTAGTGATGGCTATAAACATCCTTTTAAAGATAAAGAACCCGGTAAAACTTGGTAAAAATGTTTTATAAAGGATTACACTAATCTATCTTTTTGAGTGCCTTAGGCCTTGTCTGAGACATGTGCACAAAGAGCCAATCCAATGATTGTTAAAGATTATTTTGACAAGCTAAATAAGATAATTCAAAATAATTCATTTACTTCAGACTGCATATAGAATATGGACAAAACCAGCTTCATTATAGCTTCCAAGCTTCAAAAGGTTCTTGCTACCAAAGGTTCTTATCAGGTTTATAAAGTTGCACATGGCAACTTACACAATCATATTTCTGTTGCACTAACTATTTCAGCTGCTAATAACTACTGTATATACTTTATTAATTATATACAAAGGTTACAGGTCGAACAAAGCTATACCAGATTCCCGATATATCTCCTATTTTTAAACAATATGCATATGCATGTTTACTGGTAAATAAAACCCGATTAGTCTCTGATAGTAAACAGATCTTTGGTGCAAATATGAGACTTTTCGGGAAACTTCCATATTCAAATCGGTCTCCTGATTTGAATATTAAATAAACCCGAAAGTTGTATTATTTTTCTAAATATTTAAAGTAAACCAGGACCAAATACGAGACATTTTGGAAATCTTTAAGATACTTTCCATAGTCCCATCGGTAACCTGATTTGTATTCGGCTGCTGTATTGTTTTTCTAAATATTTAAAGTAAACCGGGACCAAATATGAGACTTTTTGGTAAATATTAAGATACT